CCAGTCCAACACTCTGGGTCACACAGTGGCCAAAAATACCAGGTGCCATCAGGAGGTCCAGCAGTGGGGCCAGGGGACACTAGGAGCCCTCCCACTTTTGCCCCCCCCCAAGCACCAAGAATACAGAGCATCACTTTCCCCACCCAGAGAGTTCCTATCTATACTTTGTGGCTAATAGCCACAGATGGACCTCTGCTCCACATAAGAACATAAGAGAAGCCAATGTTGGATCAGGCCAATGGCCCATCCGGTCCAACACTCTGTCACACAGTGGCCAAAAATACCAGGTGCCATCAGGAGGTCCACCAGTGGGCTGAGTCCTCATCTATCTCTCCTTATATATAATTGAATAGTGGGTGCCAAAGTTCTAATTCTAAAATGCACTCCCTTAGTGTATGGCTGATGGCACTGCTCCTCAGCATATATCGCCACCAATCAGAAGGCAAAGCCCGGGTCCCGCCCACACCACAACTGCTGCGACAACCTGGTCTTTTGCATATGGAAGCTGATTGGACTTCACTCCATTCCACACCTCAAACTCCCCCCCCCCCGCAAGGCAGTTGGAATGTCAGTTGCATATGGAACCTGCTGTATTCTGGTGGTGTGCAGGTCCCAGATTCATGTTTTAAAAGCAGACTGACACTGTTTGTCCAAAGCCAGAGCACTCTCCCAGAGCCTCTTTCTAGATCCCGTTGTATTTATTTCCACAACGGGCCTTATTTCTAGTGAGTGATAACTCCATAGGGAGCTGCCAGTTTTTATGCATGATTAACTGACAGCGATTCCGGAACAAGATTTTTCTCCTCTACCTGTATCACTTGCCTTCAACACAATTTCAAGATCCTAACTCCCCGACACTCTCCCAGTACTAGAAGAGTTTGAGAAGCATAATTGGCAGCAAACGTACCGGGGAACCTGGAAACCCAACTTCTCCAGCCTGTCCTGGTCGGCCCGATTCACCCTAGAAAGAAGTAACATATTCAGTAAGTCTTGCAGTGATATTTTAATGTTCATGCACTGTACATACAGAAGAAACCATTATCAATAACTATATCTCCTAACAAGGCAGGTAACTTGATGGCATATGATAAGAATCTGTGCCTAGGTTTATTGATTTCCTTTGCAAAGTTTTGCAGTTGCTACACTTCAGGACAAAGGCGCAGTGATCCTTGGGAAACTTTTCCCTTTGCCCTTCAACACTTTCCCTTTGCCACTCAGTTCCACAGGAACGCAGCATAATGTTTTTATCATAAATGGGGGGGAAAAGAGCATATCATTTTTAACAAAACCAGCAACCCCACGGCCGATTTACTGGCCTTTCTCTCTCATCCTGGTGTCGTTTGTTTATGTGTTTGAAATGTTACTTTTAAATTGTTCAAAACCTTTTTTTATGTTTGCCGCCTCGGAGACCCTGATCGGGTGGAAAGGTGGCGATAAAATGTTTTCAATTAAATAAATAGCTGTTTCCGCAACGCTCGAGGTTGGTGGAATGAAAAGACTTCTGTCACCCACTGAACGGGTGATTCGGTGAACAGCAACATTTCTGTGGGAACGGATACCCAGAATTAAACTCCGTTGGTCTTGAAGGTGACCCTGGACTCACACTTATTTCTATGGGAAGGTTCTCAATTAGGTCTCCCAGTTAGGAGACCAATCAGTAGGTCAATGCTCCCTCTAAACTGTAGAGTCTTTTGAGCAAAAATTCTACTTTGTGAGCTCTCTGCTAAGCCTTCCAATTCATTGAGCTTTGAAAGATTTAAACTCTGCTTTGGATTGCAGTGCAAGCTTCCTGCTCAGCTAGTTCTCCTGGTTAGCAGAAACAGAATACATATTAGCAGAGGTCATTTCGGGGGGGGGGGAACGCAGGGGAACACAGTTCCCCCGGGTGAGGTGCAGGGGGGCGGGGCACATGACGAAGCCCCACCCCCTGCTTCCGGCCGCCACGCTTCCGGCCCTCATTCAGCCAGGAGGAGGCAGGAGGAGGGTAAGTTGCTTCCTCCCTGCCTCTCCCCACCCCTGCCTGCCTGGGGCCAGGGAGGGCCTTGGCAGGGCTTCCTCGCACTCCCGCTGGCCTTGCAGGTCCACCGCCGGGCCCCTGATGTCAGGGGGTGTGGCATATGCTAATGAGTTATGCTAATGAGTCCCCCTAGCTCTTTTTCTATGAAATGACCCCTGCATATTAGTGTGGTCCGAGAGTCCTTATCTCTCCAAAGATTACACTACACAAACAGACGTCTGCAAAAGTCACTTCCTTCTGCAGTCCCTGAGGTCTTCACAGCCCACTTCAGGCAGGAGCGGACTGGGAAATGAAAATGGCCCTGGAACAAGCCAAGCTGACGGGACCCGTAAGCCGGTGGTGGAGGGGTTGCTCAGCTCAGTGGGGCAAACAAGGGTTTTAGCTCCTCCATTGTTTCCTCCTGAACACTGGCAGCAGTGTGTACCGACACCGACTACCATGACCGAGGAAAGGGAGGAGCTGAGTTACCACCAACCCCCCGGAGATCTGGCAGAATTACTAGAGCTTGGTTATAATTGCTCCGGGCCACCAGTGGCCCCCTAAGGCACCGGAAAATTTCCCTGTAGGTTAAACGGCCAATCTGCCCCTGGTTTCAGGGGGAAGAGAGGGAGTAGGTAAAGAAGGGGGGATACCAGTGACTCCCCCGGCATGAGCCAGAGTGAATGCCACTCACACGGCACCACTGTTGAGTCCAGGGCTATTTTTGGGCAGGAACGCACAGGAACGGAGTTCCGGCTGGCTCCCAAGTTGGCCACGCCCAGCAGGAACTCATTATCATAATAGGCCACACCCAACAGCAGAAACTCATTAGGATTGGATACATTAGGGGTGTGTGGCCTAACATGCAAAGGAGTCCCTGCTACAAAAAAAGGCCCTGGGTTTTGACAACAAACAAGGTAAACAGAACAAGCAAAAGGTGGGTGTGGCTGGATAACCACACTTCTGGTAACATGTGGGTGTGGCCTAATATGCTAATGAGCTGTGCTATCAGGGGTGTGGCCCAATATGCTAATGAGTTCCTGCTGTTGGGTGTGGCCTATTATGCTAATGAGTTCCTGCTGGGCTTTTTCTACAAAAAGAGCCCTGGTTGAGTCTAAGCCAAAAAAGACACAACTGGATTTAAGCCAAACAAACCTTCTACAGTTAGCACAAGGAGATAAAATTCCGTATGGAATTTTCTGACCAGGAATCCTGGTCTTGCAAGTTCTTTGAGACCTTTACAAAACCAGGTAAGACCTTTCTGAAGAAGACCACAGTTGGTCAACAGCACTCGTTCGACCTTGGCTTTTTGAACTGAGTCTGTTTTTCTGTTGTTTTTAGGATGCATTTTGTTTTTTAGGATGCGTGTTGTGTTGTGTGCCTTCACATGGGTCACCGGCCCAAGAGAACATATGGTTGTCTTGTCTGAGGGAACAAAAAATGGTAAAACTTACATCTTCACCAGGTTTTCCTGGAGGGCCTTCTGGGCCGCGAGCACCAGTAGGTCCCTAGAAAGAGAAAACGTACATCCTTGAGTCAGCAAATTAACAAAACCGCAATAAAATGCATGTTACAGTAGCAAAAAATTACAATTCACAACTGGATAAAATGCAAAAGCAAACAAGGCCAGTACCCATTTTAATAGGAAGACTGGCTCACAGCTTTAGGTAAAGGTAAAGGTTTCCCTTGCTCGAAAGCCAGTCGAATCCAACTCTAGGGTTGTGGTGCTCATCTCCGTTTCCAAGCTGAAGAGCCAGCGCTGTCCAAAGACATTTCCACGGTCATGTGGCCAGCATGACTAAACACCAAGGCGCACGGAACGCTGTTACCTTCCCACCAAAGTGGGACCTATTTATCTACTTGCAGTTTCTTGCTTTCAAACTGCTAGGTTGGCAGGAGCTGGAACCAGAGACGTGAGCTCACTCCATCATGCGGCACTCAGGTCTCGAACTGCTGAACTACCGACCTTCCAGCCTGCAGTTCAGCGTCTTAACCACTTGAGCCACCGCAGCTCCTTGGTTCACAGCATTAGCCTGCATAAATTGGGCATAATCTGGATCAATAATACACAGTTCCATTTGCATTCTCGCTACTTATACGAAATTTTAATGTCAGGTTAAATGTGTATATGACATGTCTTACCATTGGTCCCGGGTCCCCATGTTCACCTGGAGAGCCTGGTGGGCCAGTAGAACCCTAAAATGGGGGTACATACAGATTAGAACTTTGGGGAAACATTAGAAAAGGAATAAGATACAGTAATTAACAAATAGTTCAGAGGTTAGCCATGTCGGTCTGTAGTAGAATAGCTAGATTAGAGTCCAGTAGCACCTTAGAGACCAAAAAGATGTTGGGGTATAAATATCTGACTAAGGGAGTTCTGACTATTTATTTATTTATTTAATTTATATCCCGCCCTCCCCTGGACAATGGTGAGCAGAGCAGGTAACAACATATTTGTTAAAAGAAAATGTCTATAAAATCAGGCTATTGACACAGTTTTTATAATAATACTAACAGTTAAAACTAACAAAGGATGGCTCATGAAGAGGGAAACAAGTGGAGGCTGGACGATCATCTTTCGGATATGTTGTAGGTATGTAGGGCTATCTTTCGGTATACTCCTGCAGAGTGCATGGGGTTGGACTAGATGACCTGAAAGGTCCCTTCCAACTCTAACATTCTATGATATGATTCTATAATGTGGTGTCCCTTATCCAGGGGAAGAGTGAACATCCAGGATGATTCAACTGTCCCCTTCTGTAGCTGTCTGTCACCAGTGGGGGAAGACATTTACATTTTGTTTGACATTCCCTCAATGATCTCTCCTTCCTCACCAATATTTAGGTGAGTGCATTCAGCATAAGCTGAATCAAATAAATTCTCAAAAAATACCTTATCAGTATTTTTTAGCATTTATTCAGCCGAATCAGATTCTCTAATCTAATTTGGCTACCAATAAATTGATCCCGAATAGAAGCCGATCTTATCTGGCTTTTATTCGGGCGAATTCACCGGAGCTGCTGGTCATTTAAACCTAACAGCTGACAGGCAGTCTGTCTATCAGTTGTTACATTTAAATGGCCGGCAGCCATTTCAGCACTCCCTTTAGGCTCCCCCCTCTCTTAAGCAGGGGGAGCAAAAGGGAGTGCTGAAATGCCTTCCAGCCATGCCTCCCTGATCTGTCTTCCCTTCCCCAGCCAACCTGCCATGGTGAGCTGGTTGGGAAATGGATGGGAGACATTTAAACATGCCTCCCCGTCCTGTCTCCCCTTTCCCAGCCAACCTCCCACAGCGGACAAGCTGGGAAAGGGACGGGGAGGCATTTAAACATGCCTGCCTGAACTGCCTCCCCTTTCTCATCCAACCTAACTTCACGGGCTGACTCGGGAAGGGATGACAGATCAGGGAGGCATGTTTAAATGCCCCCCCTACCCTTCTGTCTCCTCTTTCCCAGGCAACCCACCATGGTGGGTTGGCTGGGAAAGGGACAGGGAGGCATGCGAACACGCCTCCCTGACTTGTCCCCCCTTTCCCAGCCAAACTGTCACAGTGGGCATGTAAACACAACTCCCCAATCTGTTGTCCCTTCCCCATCCAACCTGCCTCCATGGGCTGACTCAGGAAAGGAAGGGAGAGCAGGTCAGTAGGGCAGCTCAGGGGTGGAAGGCAAGACATTTAAGCCTTCTCTCAGACTTCCTCCCAATACCAATCAGCTGCCAGGCGGATTGCTGCGCAGATCTGTTTGAATGGAAGGCAGTCATTTCAGCCCTCCCAGCTAAATATTTTCGGCAATACCGATTACTTTCCGAATCTCAATCAAATACCAATATTATATTTGTGTGGGTGTGGGTGTGTGCACACCCCTACCAATTTTTTTAAAATGTTTTGTATGTATTTTAACTGTTTGGTATGCACTTAAACTCTTTTTAAAATTAATTTAATGATGAATGTGGGGGGTTTGATTTTAATAGTTTTATAATTTAATTTTTTGTCGTTTTGAATGGTTAGCCATCCCTTGCATCCCTTGCGAGAACGAACAAGACCTAATATCTTGTAAATGAGAAAATAATAATAAATTTAAAAACCAAATGACATTCTCCTATGAGAAAATTATCCTATATGTCACCATCAAATGTGTGATAAAGTTAGATTGTGTGTTGTATAGGGGACAGGAGGACTGGGCAAAACAATCTTAAACAAACTATTTCTGAGTAACTTATTGGAGATGGAGGCGTCCCAACACTTCTTTATACAGACCTAATCCAGAATAGGTGCACAACTCTCGCAGCGCTACTTACCGGTTGTCCCTGCGAACCTGGAGGCCCTCTTGGCCCTACGGGACCCTGGGAAGGAAACAAACCTCATTACTCAGGTTGGTTCTGAAGAAGTGAATCAAATGGGAAACTACAAAATCCTAGTAGGTCAATCTTCTATCCCAGGACAGAATGATTCTCTCAGACACAGCGGGGTCCAGAGAGGATAGAGACGCTCAAACACCCAATGGTTCGGCGCACATGCTGACGCCAAGCTGTGATCTGCACAGTTCGATGTCTGACAAACTGCAGTCAAATAGCTCTCGACTGTGCAAAAATACCAGTTGAGCAAGCAGGTTCTCATATGATTTTCCTGCAACCCCCCCCCCATGTTCCCTCTAAGCTGTGGAGTCTTGTGAGCAAAAATTCTGCTTTGTGAGCTACTGGCATTAAAGTTGTGAGCGAGCGACTGGGCTGCTGCATAAATCAGTTTGCTCTGGAGCCCATCCCGTCTTGAGCTGAGACACAAATGTGTGAGCCGGAGGCTAAAGAACTGAGAGCTAGCTCACGCTGACTCAGCTTACGGGGAACACTGCCCCCCATCCCCCCACCTTCCCTCTTCATCCGCTGTTTTATCCGTCCTTTAAGCCCCGAAAACATTAATATTCTAAAGTGAACAATTCATAGATGTGAGGTATCACCCTCTATCCGTTATGGCTTCCTGACCCGATGTTCATTAATAGGAACAACAGGCAAAGGGATCAAGAGGAAATTGGGCATGCGCATTCTGCTCAGGACAGCTGCTTCTTGAAACCATTTTCATCCCCAAAGCAGCATGGGGGGGGGGGGAACACCTTATAAACAGGGGTCATTTCCTGCAGGAGCGCACAGGAGCGGAGCTCCGGCAGTAAAGAGCCCAGGGGGGTGGGCACATGCAACAAGCCCCACCCCCTGCTCCCAGCAGCCCTCAGGCAGAGCAAGAAGCAGCCAGGCAAGCTGCAGAGCCCCCCCTGCCCCCCCGGTCCAAAACAGTCCAGTGGCACCTTTAAGACCAAGTTTTATTCAGGTACAAGCTCACCCTCCTCTGTGAGGACAGATTTGCACATCCCCCCCCCCAATAGCTAGCAATCCAAAACAGTCCAGTGGAGCCTGAGTGGTGGGTGTTGCCTTCTGACACACTTCCGGTGACGTCAGGGGGTGTGGCATATGCAAATAAGCTATGCTAATATGCTAATGAGCTCCTGCACCTCTTTTTCTACAAAATGACCCCTGCTTATAAAACAGGTTGTCTCTCCAATAGGGAAGAGCTCTTCACAGTCAGGTCCTTTGCTTGCTTTTGTTCTTCTTTTTGGTTCTGTATTTCCCAGGGCCCTGGTTGTCCCAGGCAAGCCCAATCTTGTCAGGATAAGCCCTGGTTAGTACTTGCATGGGAGACCACCAAGGAAGTCCAGGGTCGCTATGCAGAGGCAAGCGATGGCAAAACCACCTCTATTTGTCTCTCACCTTGACCTGGATGGCCCAGGCTAGCCCAGCCTCATCAGGTCTCAGAAGCTAAGCAGGATCAGCAGCCCTGGTTAGTACTTGCATGGGAGACCACCAGGGAAGTCTACGGTTGCTCTGCAGAGGTAGGCGATGGCAAAACCACGTCTGTTTTGACTCTTGCCTTGACCTGGATGGCCCAGGCTAGTCCGATCTACTTTGGATTGTTCTCTAAAACTACACCAAGAGTCCCGATCAATGAATTCTTACCGTGGCGCCAGGCATGAATCCCATTTGACCGGCAAGCCCCGCTTTCTCATCCAGTCCTGCCATCTGAGACGTGAAGGGCTGCAAACATAAGGATTTTATTAGTCTTGGAGAAAGTGTATTTTATTTTATTTTTTGTCGTCATTTGGGAGGTCAAACTTTTTGCGAGGCACACGTGAAACAAGTGGATGAACGTTTATTGTATGCATGTCTTGAAAATATTTAAAACACGCATACAGCGCCTCTCGGCTGAATCATGAGTCTGGTTTGGGGGCAAACCTCCATGGTTTGAGGGCAATTTTACCATCGAGCTTACCATACAATTTGCCCGCAAACCAGAGCATCGCTGTGCAATGTCCCTGACATGATGATGTTACAACTGTGTGCTGTCGTTGCGTCCGTGATGTCGCTGTTTGGGGGCGGAGCCCTACCCCACTCCCAGAAGGCTCCCTCCCACCCCCTGCCGGCGTGTGGTGAGTACCTGGCAACCCTGCCAGGACGTAGGGCTGGCGGTCTCCAAGTGGGGCCTGGGGATCCCCCAGAATTACTACTGATCTCCAGACGACAGAGAACTGCTCTGCTGGAGAGTAGACTCTATGGCCCGGTGCCCAACTGGGGTCCCATCCTTCCCCAAACCCAGCACTTCCCAGGCCCCACCTAAAATCTCCAGGACTTTCCTAACCTAGGGTTCCCAAATGTGCCCGGGGGGCGGGGAATCCCCCGCTTTCACAGCTCGATTTTCGACGGCCCGAAAATCGGGCCCGGGGGAAAACCCACCCCCGCGCGTGCGTCACCCGGAAGTGACGTCACACGCTGGGGGTGGGGCCACGCCATTTGAGGGGAAAACAAAGAGTTTTCCCCTCAAATGGCATGGCCCCAGCCCCAGCGTGTGACATCACTTCCGGGTGACACGCACGCACACACCGAAGACGCCAGCTGGGAGCCCCCCGCTACCGGCAAAAAATTATTTGGCAACCCTATCCTAACCTGAAGCTGGCAACCCTAACAAATTTTTTAAAACCTGGCATGGATTTTTGCCTTTCACTTCTGTACACGATTCTGTTACACATTTTAGATTCCTGTCAGTGCCATCGAAAGACACTGTCCAGGGAGTGAGTTCCACAGCACAGGGTGGACCAGGCCTCTCAGCAGACCTGCTTAGAATTACCTCTCTCACACACTTGGGTATTACACCGGCCAAAAGATTTCCATCGATTTTAACGGTCTTTGGACAGAAGCCTGAGTTCTGTCACCATTCAATATCACAAACTCAAGTTATTTGAAGAGTGTCTTTAAAGGTCAGCAGTTCCAAACGCCATTAATCATTTGCGCCTTAAATCCATTCTTCCGCCGCCCAAGTTTTCATATATATTTTTTGCCAAAGGTACGCCAGCTTTAATTAAAAGGAAAATGCCTTATTCTCTCATTAAGATCTGAGGGCTCAAGAGTTTGAAAGATCAACGCGAATTAAATTATCCTGGGCCCTTTTTAAAAACAAAAACAGAAACCCCCTGCCTGTGGGAAACATAGGCCCCGTCCCCTTTCGAGGCAGTGACAAGGGTAACGAGCAAGGATTCATCCCAGCCTTAATTAAAAAAGGAACAATTGATCATTAACCCAGCACTGATTAAACTTCACACAAGTCACAAGTTACTGAGGTAAATATCAATATATGTAAATGGTTCAATCTGCAAATGCACTGTCAGGTTGGCTATTCCGGTCTCCACTCGATTCTGGAACTTTCGCTTAGGAGTCAGCGGTCGTTCTTTTTAAATGTAATGGACGGCAGGAATATATTCTGCTGTCATGAGGAAGGTAGCCCTTCAGCCCCAGAAATTAGGACCTCCTGAAGTTTGGGAGAAGGCTCGTACTACTGGGATGCAGTGCCACCGACTACACTCTTGAAAGGAAGGTACGAAAACATTCCCTTGGATTGTTAGAATTGCCGATCTCCAGGTAGTGACCAGAGATCTCCTGGGATTACAACTGATCTCCACGTGACAGAGGTCAGTTCCCCTGGAGAAAATGGCTGCTTTGGAAGGTGGACTCTGTGGCACTATACCCCACTGAAGTCCCTCCCCTCCCCAAACCCTACTCTCTTCAGGCTCCACCCCCCAAATTCTCCAAGTATTTCCTAACCGAGAGCTGGCACACTTACTAATCATAGATTTTGTACACGCTCTGCTATCCTGACTGAAAAATTGGTTCACATGCTTTTTTCACCCACTGTAGATGTTACGTACAGGCACATTTGCATTTATTGTAACCTGCGTTGGTTGATAAAGCAAAACTTTTCTCTGAGCAGAAGATTGCTTCATACTGGCGGGGGTAGGGCTGCCAAATGGGGGCGGGGGCGGGTAAACCCCCACTTTGGAGGCCCAATTTCTGCCCCCACTGAATCGGGCCCCGGGGGGAACTCCGCGCCCCCCCCGAAGCACAGCATGGCTGTGTCACCAGAGGTGACGCAACCACGTCGATCACGTTGGGGTGTGGCCCCGATCGTCGGAGGGAAAACTCTATGGTTTTCCCTCCGACGATCGGGGCCACGCCCCCAACGTGATTGACATAGCGCGTCACTTCCGCGATGTGCTGGCGGCGCGTGCGCGCACATCGGAGGAAAGCTCCCGGAGCCCGGCGACGCTCCCCCGCTGGTAAGTAGATTAGACTTGGCAACCCTAGGCGGGGGTTGACCAAATGAGTATGAGATCTGTGGCTAAGTTTCTGTTCTCTGCCATGAAAATACAGGCTGAGTTAACGTTCTGTGTATAATCTACTCAGAGTCTGACCCTTAAACTGTTAGATGTATTAGGATGAATGATATATGCTGGTTATTAATTTTATAGTAGTGGTTGTTGGGTTTTTTTGCTGCTGTATGGCCAGGGGCCGTAATAAAGACTGACCGACCGACATCAACTATTGAGGTTCATGTGCTTATACAAATTCAAGCCTCTGAGAATTAAAAATAGGAGTGATAATCAGTAGGAAAAGGAGAATCAAAGGGATAATGTTTGTACCAACATCCAGGAGGGGGGATACTGAAGCTCTGGGAAACCTCAAGTTTCACCTGGCTGGGGTCCTGGCTTACCTGGCTTTTGGCAGGGGTGATCCTGCCCGGTCCCAAGATCTTATGGCGTGCAAAGTGATGTCATCGCACTGGGCACGTTGTGCAGGGGATGCTCTAGCAATTGGGCGAAAAGCTTTATGGTCATCATAGAGTTTTAACCCAAATGCTAGAGTGTCCCCTGCGCAACTTGCCCGGCACAATGATGTCATCACACCAGACATGTCAGGCACAACAGGGCTTTTCGGGGGCGGGGCTCCCCCTGCTGGACGCCTGGCCATAGGCAGACTCGGGCCCCAAAGGTGGGGGGAAACCTGCCCGTTTTGGGGGGATGACAACCCTAAAACGGGTAGTGATTTCTCCTCTTTCTGGAGAACTCTTTTGCAACTTGATCTTCACCACCCCTGGTCACACATGGAACTGTGATGTCAATATCTGTTACTACTTTCATATTACGATACGAAACTCGTCTGTTGCCAAGGTGACCTTAGCCAGATATGGCCAAGAGCTGACTTTATAAGAATGAATGCTTGCTAGGAAGCTAAGAATACTGAGCTGAGGACTTTTGAGGAGTAACTAGGCCTACACATTGGCTAGGTTACCCCAGGAAAATGGGCTCTTGCACAGTTTGGCCAACCTGCAGCTCCAAAGACAGTTGCTATACACTTCATGACATATTATGCACAGTTGTGTGAGTTTGTAATATTGTGGTGTGTGTGTATATGTGTGTATTAGGGTTGCCAAGTCCTTACTGTAGGTATAGCGGGGGAGTCCAGCGCTGCTCTGGGAGATCATGTGTGCGTGCGAAGCGCGCATGCACCGCAATTACGTCACCCGGAAGTGACGCAACCACGCCGGGCATGCCGGGGGCGGGCCACAATCATCCAAGGGGAAACCATAGAGTTTTCCCTCAGATGACTGCGGCCCCGCCCCCAATGCACCCGGCGCAACTGCATCACTTTCGGGTGACGTGCTGACGCCGGGCACGTCGCGTGCTTTGGGGGTGGGGTTTCCCCCAGGGCCCGATCCGCCACCGGCGCGTAACAGGCCTCTCTTGGCGGGGGTTTCCCCGCCCCCCCCCGGGGGGGACTTAGCAAGCCTAGTATGTATGCGTGTGTGTGTATTATAGATAGATGATGATGATAGATAGATAGATAGATAGATAGATAGATAGATAGATAATAGATAGATAGATAGATAGATAGATAGATAGATAGATAGATAGATAGATATGCAAGAAAGGGCTTACTTTTAGTCTGTGTTCTGCTCTACAGATGAAGCCCCTTGCAAAAAAACAACCAAGTTTTACATGCACTACCTACAGCAGGGGTCTCCAACAAGGTGCCCGTGGGCCCCATGGTGACCACAGACACCTTAACTGGCTCCTGCCACGTGTTTTCAGAAAGTGGGTGGAACTAGATGGGGCTCCTGCTGAGTACACCTTCCGATTGGCCACTGGAGATCTGACTGGCTGCACGGATTAAAATAACCTCGCCTCAATGGCAGCTGACACCACAGTGTTGGTTGGCTTTATCCTCTCTTACTCCTCTGTCCTAGTATATATTTTTTTTAATTACCCCCTCTTCCGCCCTTTACTTGAACTTCCTCCGGTTGGCTCTGCTTCCCGCGGCAGCCGTTTTGTGGCTGCGCCCACCGCTCTGTCTCAGAATTCCAAAGGTGCCCACCAGATCAAAAAGGGCGAGGACACCTCGTCTACCATGTCCGTCTCTTGCGTCTGTCCATGTGTTTGATCCTCCATCAGTAAGGAGCACAGTGCTTCCTTGGAACGGCTCCCCCGCTAGATTGTAAGCCCATCAGCCTTCATCTCACACCTGCAACGGAGGCCACTTACTCTGGTCATTCCATCGGGGCCTGTCGATGGTTGTCCAGGAGGTCCAGGATCACCGGGCTGTCCAGGTATACCAGGCTCCCCATCCAGTCCAGGAGGACCACGGGCACCCTAAAGGAAGAGGTGGCATCAGTCAACATGGGCAGTTACACAAGGTGCACATAAAGAACAGAGATTATCAAACGAGTCAAACATCGCAGTCAGTGGCTGATTTCGCACTGGAGCTGCCTCAATGTTGCGCCGCCGTTTGCCCTGATACTATTGGTCAATTTCACACCCGAAGCTGCGGGGCTGCATTTTGACTCGCGGCTTTGCCCGATTTCCCCGCAGTTTCATGATCCGCGGCTTCGGGTGTGAAATTGACCAATAGTATTGGGGCAAACATCGAGGCAGCTCTAGTTCGAAATCAGCCATCGTGTGTGCCACTGCTGCTGCTGCAAAAAAACAACAACACCCTTTTCCTGTTACTGAGGTTGTCCTTGCAGTAATGAGGTTGCCTATGCATTATTCCAAAGGCTAGCCTTCGGAAACTAAGCAGGGTCGGCCCTGGCTAGTATTTGGACGGGAGACTCCCAAGGAAGCCCAGGGTTGCTACGCAGAGGCAGGCCATGGCAAACCACCTCTGAACATCTCTTGCCTTGACCTGGATGGCCCAGGGTAGCCTGATCTCATCAGATCTCAGAAAGTAAGCAGGGTCGGTCCTGGTTAGTACTTGGACGGGAGACCACTGAGGAATTCTAGGGTTGCTACACAAAGGCATGCAATGGCCAACCACCTCTAGGCTTGCCAAGTCCCCCCGGGGGGCAGGGACGAGGCCTATTCCCCGCCGCCGGCGGATCGGACCCTGGGGGGAACCCCACCCTCAAAGTACGTGACGTGCATGTCACCCGGAAGTGACGCGACCATGCCGGGCACTCTGGGGGCGGGGCCACGGTCATCCGAGGGAAAACTCTATGGTTTTCCTCGGATGGTCGTGGCCCTGCCCCCCGGGTCACGTCACTTCTGGGTGACGGGGTTGCGGCGCTCCGGAAAACAGCTGGGAGTCCCCTGCTCCAGCTAAAGGTAAGACTTGGCAACCCTAACCACCTCTCAGTGTTCCCTCTAAGCTGAGTTAGTGTGAGTCAGCTCACAGTTTTTTTAGCCTCCGGCTCACACATTGTGGTCTTAGCTCAGGGAGGAGGGCTCCAGAGCAGACTAATTTCTGCAGTCACCAAATCGCTCTTTCACATCTTCAATGCCAGCAGCTCACAAAGTAGAATTTTTGCTCACGGGACTCCACAGCTTAGAGGGAGCCTTGCTCTGAATGTCTCTTATCTTGAAAATCCCATGGGGTTGCCAGAAGTCATGACTTGACCACACTTTGCACACGCACAAAAACATCCTGTTTTCCAATATTTGGCTCTCTTTGGCTGCGGTTACACTCACTAAATAATCCACTTTCAATCCACTTTCAGTGCACTTTCCGACTGGATTTCACTGTGTGACCACTTGTCTTTAGAGGTGCCAGCTTAAGGGAAAAGGGTGGACCAGCATCTAAAAACAGCATACACTTTACACCTGCCACATGAAAGTTGTGTAATATGGCGGCCAGAAGATCAACAGTGGTTCATCATATGAAGAAGAGAGAAGAGATTGGATTTATACTCCGCCCTTCACTACCCAAAGGAGTCTCATAGCGGCTTACAAACTCCTCTCCCTTCCCCTCCCCACAACAGACACCCTGTGAGGTAAGTGGGGCTGAGAGAGCTCTGACAGATACTGCTCTTTTTCAAGGACAGCTCTGGCAGACCTATAGCTTGCCCAAGGTCATCCAGCAGCTGCAAGTAGAGGAGTAGGGAATCAAACCCGGTTCTCCCAGATTAGAGTCCGCGCACTTAACCACTACACCAAACTGGCTCTCAATTGCTCCCAATGGGTCCCAGAGTTTTCTACATGGCTGCCAACAACATTTGAAGGTGACACAGTAATTCTCTCTTTTAGGTGGTTATTTGTATGACTTATATCTCTAGACACCCTGACTTGGCTGGCCTAGGCTAGCCCAGTCCTGTCGGATCTTGAAAGCTAAGGCGGCGTATAAATTAAATAAATACTTGGATGGGAGACCACCAAGGAAGTCCAGGGTAGCAACGCAGAGGCAGGCAATGGCCAAACCACCCCTGCTCATCTCTTGCCTTGAAGGTCCTCTGGGGTCCCCATGATTCAGTGGTGACTTGATAGCACTTTACACACACACACAATGATAGGTCCTTGGCCTTAGTTTTAGAAGTTCTCTTCAATGGACCATCATTTTCCACCAAACTTCACAGACGAACGATAACTTTACACACACACACACACACACACACACACACACACACAATGATAGGTCCTTGGCATTAGTTTTAGAAGTTCTCCTCAATGGACCATCATTTTCAACCAAACTCCACAGACAAACGATAACTTTACACACACACACACACACACACACACACAATGATAGGTCCTCGGCCTTAGTTTTAGAAGTTCTCCTCAATGGACCATCATTTCCCACCAAACTTCACAGACAAACGATAACATCTGAGTGGTCCCTTCTGACTACCTATGTTGTCTATCCAGTCAGTCAATACCCAGCATAAGATCTCAACACTTCTTAAAACCAGCGAATATTCGTAAAATTCGGAGCTCAAAAAAACCCCAACCCCCCTATTACGGTAATTCCAAACGTTTCCACTTTCTAATTGCTATGGTACAACATTTTGCTACCGCATGTCTTACAGATTTCCGTGTATCTTCTAAGAGATATTTCCAGAGTACTTCAGACCTAAAGTTCATATAATACTTCAGTGGTATGAATTTAGAGAGGAGCGGAATAATGAACTGTGATCTTTCCTCTTGATAAAATTCACAATGCAGGAGAAGATGTGTAACAGATTCAATCACTTTCCCAGAGCAGGGACAACCGAGAAAATCTGCCAAGTAGTACTGCGGAAGGGAATGCATCGAAGCGTGCTCTCGAAAAGGCCCATCTATATCTCGCGCGAATGATATTCGAGAGGTATGGAGCTGATGCATAATTCGGCCACTTTTTCAAACTTCTGTAGTTTATAGGGGGTTATCTATCCAGTGTGTTTCTATCTTGTTCTAAATGGCTCGGGGTCCTGTGGCACACACAGTTCTCCCTTCTGCCTGTTATTCTCACAACAGCCTTGTAGGGTAAATCAGGCTGACCCAAGGTCACCTGGTGAGTTTCCATGGCAGTGTCGCGGTAATGTGGTAAAGCTCTGAGTTGGTGAGGTCTTATAAATAGGAAGCAACAGTTCAAACTGTCTTGTGCTAACTATTTACATTTATTTACATAATTCACATTGAGCTGGTATACACTTACAAAGTGCTTCGCCAGACAACATGTTTGAGAGCAGAGAGAAACAGTACAGTATATTCACAGGTATATACATATCAGCAGAGAACAAACACCAATCAGCATTCCGTGCTGAGTCATTATGTACAGGCATTCTTGCTCTGGTCAGGACCGGTATGAACTAGATAATGTAGCTGTCATGAACTGTCAGTTAGATCACCAGCCTGATGTCCTACCAAGCAGCACTTATATGCTGACAGGCAGGGGTGGGATGTCATCAGGGTCTCCTAAATCCTAGTAGACACTCTAACCCAGGGGTGTCAAACATGCAGCCCGGGGGCCAGATCAGGCCCCCGGAGGGCTGTCTTCTGCTTCTTCTTCCAGTTCTGCTGCTGCTGCATCATCGTAGGTTTGCAGCTTACAGATACACACCTGAAGAGCAGACTCAGGATCGCAACAGCACAGACATTTTGATGCAATAATTCAGAGCAAGAGGTGTCAGTTATCAGGCACTGTTAAATAAACACAATATTGCAAGAGTGCTAACATTTTAAGCATGATGCTATTTTAAGTTTAAAAAAAACCCTTTGCGTTTGTGTCCTTTATAAAGTTTCTATCTCCGCTACCTGGCACTACAGTCTATGACACACATGGCCCGGCCCAACATGGTCTCAGTTATGTCAGATCTGGCCCTCATAACAAATGAGTTCGACACCCCTGCTCTAACCACTACATCACGTTGCCTCTCTCCCTTAAACTAGTAGTTAAATAATAACCATGCATGCGTAGTTCTTTTTCATTTCAACAGGACACATGCAAAAGAACTCCCTGATGATCATGCCCCCCCCTTTTAAAGCTTCCAATGGGAAATAGAGCTTTGCAGCCCTTACCTGGGTACCCCAGGCAAGCCCGATCTCATCATATCTTGGAGGCTAAGCTAGGCAAGTATTTAGATGAGAGACCTCCAAGGAATACCAGGGCCGGGATGCAGAGGCAGGCAACTATCAAGCCACCTCTCTAAAACAGCCTCGCCCCACTAGGGCTCGCAGAAGTCACCGTGACTTCCGGGCACACGTGCACATCCACACGCACACACAAAATATACCCAAATAAAGGGAATAAAGCTTTTGCTATACCAGTTCCTCCAGTCGCGGAGGGGTGAAAAAGAAACCCTCAGCTTTTACATTTACAGTAAAATTCTTCTAGGCGGCTATACGATTACAGCACGTCCCAGGAATTTTTTTTATTATGGGATGAGAAATGGTTAGCCATACATGGAACGGATGTGTAAAAAAGCGGTTATTTGGTGAAATCGCTGATTCACCCCGTTAGGAAATGCAAACAGTGGGTTTCACATATTTTTCGATGATTTCCCATAAACCAATTTGCCAGGGTTTTTTTCTAACTCCTCAGGGGTGGGGTGGGGATAGACATTCTGTTTTCATTTATCCTGGCACCCATTCAGAGGGACTTCTCGAATTCCAGGGGACGCCATCCCGGATTTATCCTGGCATCACTTTACAGGAGAACTTCTCATGAGTCATATCTTAAAAAGCAAAATAAGCTTTGGAAGACAACCAACGCAGGGGGGGGATGTGTGCAGGGAGGAGGCAAAACGGTAGGAAGATTGCTTGGATCTGTCTGTCAAATCCAACATGACTGGTAAATGAATGACATTTGTGTGCGTGCGTGTGCATGTGCGTGCGTGTGTAAAGCGTCCTCAAGTTGCAACTTAAGCCCCCCCCCATAGTGTTTTCAAGGCAAGAGACTAACAGAGGTGGTTTGCCATTGCCTGCCTCTGCGTAGCAACACTCAACAGAGCACAACAATGGGGGATTCTGCACCCATCTGTTTCCTCGCAGTTTTTCCACGACAACGTCGGGAGGTTAATCTCCCCTCTACACCGCATGCCGCTTTCACTTCCTTTGTTCATCGGGTTTTATGGTACCTTCTGCATAGATTTTTGCAGGGGTGGCTTTGCAGTCAGGACAGCGTTGCCCCGGGGGTATGTGCATGTGGTTTTGAGTGGCACCTTTTCCTTCCTCCGCATCCAGTTCCAAGGGAACAATACGCAGACAGCTTGATGCGGCTTCGCTCATCTCCATCAGTCCCCCCCCATTTCCCCCTCTGTATTTATCTCCTCGCCATGAATTACTTGGCTTAGGTGGCTAATGACTGCTGAGGCAAGTACTGACCCAGGAAAATCTGCATACCAATGATCCAAGGCAATGCAATGAAAGCAGATATTCTGAGGCAAGGGGGAACCAGGTTGAGTGCTGTTAAAATGTGGAGCGAATGCGGAATGGACCACTGTTGAGTGGATTCCTTCAGAGGCGCTCACCTCCAAGCCTAGGAATTTAAAATGGAATGGATCGAGGCTTTTTCGATGATGGAAAGAGCCATCAAGTCACAGCTGACTTACGGCAAACACTTAAGGTTTTCAGGGCAGCCAAGAGAGGGGCAGAGATGGTTTGCCATTGCCTGCCTCTACGTAGCAACCCTGGTATACCCTGGAGGTCTCCCATCCAAATACCAGCCATGGCCGACCCTGCTTAGCTTCCGAGATCTGACGAGATTAAGCTAGCCTGGGTCTTCCAGGTCAAGGCACGAGAGGAACAGAGGTGGTGTGCCATCACCTGCCTCTGCATAGCAACCCTAAACTTCCTCGGTGGTCTTCCATCCAAGGACTAACCAGGAACGGCCCTGCTTCGCCTTCGAGATCTGATGACACTGGGCTATCCCGGTCCATCCAGGTCAGGGTAATGCCCTTCCAGCCACATGCATTTATGACACTGCTCTGCAACTCTGACTTTGAGTGCATGAGTCTGTGGTTGAATACATAAGAGCAGGGGAAGAATAAAGAATGGGAGGAGGAAATCTAGGCAGGAGCTTAAATGGGAGGGAGTGGCTAGTGGGAAGGTGTTTAGAAGGGGAAGGACTAAAAATGCAACCCAGTCGAAAAGAACAGTCCAAGGCTGATTTCGCACTAGAGCTGCCTCGATGTTGCACCACCGTTTGCCCCGATACTATTGGTCAATTTCACACCCGAAGCTGCGGGGTTGCATTTTGACTCGCGGCTTCGCCCAATTTCCCCCGCAGTTTCGTAATCCTGTTTTTTGAGGATCACGGAACTGCGGAGGAAATCGGGCGAAGCCACGGGTCAAATGCAGCCCCGCAGCTTCAGGTGTGAAATTGACCAATAGTGTCGGGGCAAACGGCGGCACAACATCGAGGCAGCTGTAGTGCGAAATCAGCCCAACTCTGCGTCTGGTGGAGAGCTACAGCCTGGGACATGATCTCCGATCTACGAAACAAGGCAACATCCAGTGAATGCAGTTTCACTATCACAACTAAAGGAGGGCCCTGGTCTTCGTGGTGCAGGCGAGCTTGATCTCGTCAGATCTGTTAAGCATGCCGGGACAGTGGGAGGTGCTACATCACTCTAAGGGTGTATAGGTGATATCTCCTTGAACGGGAATGCCTCTTTTTGTCTTAATCTGAGAGCTGCCCTCTGACCCCTTCTCTCACTTTGTCCTCTCCCTCTCTTCACATGACCTTCCATGAGGACACATGTCTTTGCAGGTCCCTCCTGTAGATACAGTGCCCTCATACTCCCACACACGTGATGCCAGACAAGCTGGCCATTTGTGACAGGGAAAGGACTCTTTCGCTTAGGCTCTCCTTTTGAGTGCAACCTGAATGTGAACTGGATCTACTTGAATAAATTGAAGTTTTAGTACACTTCTATGACTGGGCAACACTCTGCTATATTAACCAAATATCCCCAATAGCCCTAGCCTGGGTTTTAGAAGAAGAGATTGGATTTATACCCCACCCTTCACTGCCTGAATGAGTCTCAGAGTGGCTTACAATCCCATTCCCTCCCCCTCCCCTCCACAGACACCCTGTGAGGTAGGTGGGGCTGAGAGAGCTCTCTCAAGAAGAGAGAAGAGAAGAGATTGGATTTATACCCGGCCCTTCACTCGGGAGTCTCAGAGCGGCTTACAAACTCCTTTCCCTACCCCTCCCCACAACAGACACCCTGTGAGGTGGGTGGGGCTGAGAGAACTCTGACACAAACTGCTCTTTTTCAAGGACAGCTGTGCCAGAGCTTGTGACTGACCCAAGGTCACATCAGCAGGTGCAAGTGGAGGAGTGGGGAATCAAACCCGGTTCTCCCAGATTAGAGTCCGCGCACTTAGCCACTACACCAAACTGGATCTCCAGAACTGTCCTTGAGAGAACAGCTCTGAAAGACAAGGTCACCCAGCTGGCTGCATGTGGAGGAGTAGGGGAATGAAACCCGGTTCTCCCCGATTAGAGTCTTCAATCTTAACCACTACACCAAACTGGCTTCTACCCTGGGTTTTACCTAGTGGACAAAAATATTTGGTGCTGGACCTTCAAAGAAGAAGGCCTCTCTTTCAAGCCTCCAGCACTAAGGGCGGGGACACGATAGAGGTTTATAAAATGATGCATGGGATGGAGAGAGCTGACAAAGAGACATTTTTTCTCCCTCTCCCGGAATACTAGATCTTGAGGGCATCCAATGAAATTGATGGGCAGTAGGTTCAGGACAGGCAAAAGGAAATACTATTTGACACAGAGAGTGATTAAAATGTGGAATTCGCTGCCAGAGGATGTAGTGATGGCCACAGGAATAGATATCTTTAAAAGGGGATTAGATAGATTCATTGAAGATAAGTTCATCAATGGCTACTAGCCATGGTGACTGAAGGGAACCTCCACATTCAGAGGCCCTGTTTATTTATTTTATTTATTTATTTATAAAGTGAGAGCTTCCAATTTTCTCATTGTATGGCTTCTCTGAGTCCCAGAGCCAGGAGGGAAAGGCCTTGGCCTCTCTTCCCTGTTACCATATGAGACAGGATGCTGGACTAGATGGACTATTGGTCTCATCCAGCAGGGCTCGTCTTAGGTTCTTACATGCATTCGCTCACTATAACTTGTTAACAAAGCTAGTATCACGCTGCAAAGTGTGCAAAGTGTGCAATGAAGAATAATAGCGCTTCGTCACAAAAGATGCTAGTGGTAATTGGAACAAATCAAAGTATGTATTTTTTTAAAAAAACAACACTGCATTAATGGAAATCCCCAAGGAAGGTTTCTTATGTCAGCTTCTCCCACAATGCAAGCACGTTTTAAATAAGTAGGTGCTAAAGAGAGCCACAAGGTGGCAGTAGAGGACACTGCTATTCTTACCATACTTCCTTATTAACTTGATGCCCAAAATAGATCTGGGAAAAATCCCTGTTATTAAAAGCCCCGAACCAAGTAATTGGCTGATTTGCTCACATCAATACAGGAACTTCAACACAGAGACATTTCTTTTGGCACTTACTATTCCATCAGGATTACCATTTCATAATGCTGCGGTGATGGCAGAAACTACTGGGAAAATCTCCCTATATATGCAATTCTCCAACAGCTTTGTTTAAACATAACACAGTACTATGGTTCGTTTTAATTATAATTAGCTTGTGAAAAGCAGGATTAAGCCTGTCTAGGCTGCAGTTTAGGAAGCACTGACAAGTTACAACTTTCAGTGGGGTACAATTCTGTTTCAAAGGATCTAAAACAGGCCTTTCCTAAGGGTTGTAGAGGCCATACAATAAGAAAATCGGAAGGTATTACTTTATAAACAGGGGTCTCCAACGTGGCGCCAAACATTTTCAGAAAGTGGGTAGGGCCGGGGGGGGTTCCTGCCTGGCATAGCTCCTGATTGGCCACTGAAGACCTGATTGGCTGTGCAGATTAAAATAACGTTCGCATGGCAGCTGCACGGCCGTGTCGATTTCATTCTGTCTCTCGCTCCTCTTTCCCAGTGTCCCCCTCGTCTTCATTGCAAGTGGACTTCCTCGGGGGGGGGGCTGCTCCTCCATCTCTTGCGGCAGCCGTTTTGTAACTGTGCCCATTACCCTGTGTCAGAACTCCAAAGGTGCTCACAGGATCGAGAAGGCCGAGGACCCCTGCTGTCTATTATGGATGCCTTTCAAACTGTATTCCCACCTTACATCCTGGGGATTTCCTGCATTACAAATCGGGGCAACTCTGGCTACGAGATTGCTCCATAGTGGCTGCATGTCGACACTGCAGCAGAATTTGGACACCTTACTTAAAGCATGTTGTGCGGTCATGCTTCCAGCATTCTTTCTGCAGCCATCATGGTTAGAGCCATTTAGAGATTAAACTGAGCCTTATCAAAGTTCTAAAATATACCTTGAGTTGGGTTTATGTGATCTGAAGAGAAACCAGAGTCCATTTCCATAGGGCCGTGTTTTAAGATGAACTCCAGACATCAAAAACACAACTCACCAAGCAAAAATACAAATCTAGGGATGCACGATTCGATGGAATGCAGGGTTGCAGACTGTGTTCCAGGATATAATTGTAGGGGAAACAGAGGAGGCCTAATTCAGAAAATATTATAGCCACTCTAAGGTTCTTAAAGTTTTAGACATTGTCCGGTACCTACATTTCAAGTAAGGTTCTCGGAAAAATATTTAACAACTTACAAGTTTTCCTTTGGATCCTCTCGGTCCTCTCGGCCCTTGTGATCCTGGGGGGCCCTAAATCAACAAAGAGAGAAAAATTCGTACGTTCGTTCCACTGTTCTGAAATGCTGTAATGTCACAGTTCGGGAACGAAATTTATTTATTCATTTATTCAAAAAAATTATTTTATTTTTCGTCATCATAAACAACAAAAGAGAGCTTCACAACATCCAGTGTAAAGAGGTGAACTGCCATAGTACTACTTAACCAAAGAATATCGCCATTTGCCTTATCTATAAAAGCACACGGTTTATAAGGGTTAGAAGCTACTATGAGCACCTCGTTGAACCTTAACAAGTGCATCTGGGAAACTCTTCCAGCCAACTAAACTTAAATAATAACTTCTTTCAAGAAATGTGGTTCAGTTGCAAAGGCGACCCCTGCTTTTATCTGGTGCTCTGTGAAGGACTGCGTGTCCGTGGCGGTTTTCACATCAGCCTTTCTAAGGATTCTCTGGAAGATGACGGAGTTTGTCGATAAGAATATGGCAGTTGAGATTTCCTGGATGAGGTTTGCCCCAAGTTACTTATCTTACTATGGAACATAAGGCCACAATAGAGGTTGTGAACATTTATGTCCTAGTCTCTGTTCATGCAGGGCAGCAGTGAAGCCCTAGAAGCAGGGCTATTTTGGGGCAGGAACGCACAGGGACGGTGTTCCAGCTGGCTTAAGAGTTGGCCACGCCCACGCCCACTACAGCCAAAACCTCTGCAATGCCTCCCCGTGCCTGGCGCGGCCCAGCCAAGGGAAGACACGGAGTGTGGCCTAATATGTTAATGTGCTGCACTGTCGGGGTGTGGTCTAATATACCAATGAGTTTCTACTGTTGGGTGTGATCTATTATGCTAATGAGTTCCTGCTGGGCTTTTTCTACAAAAAAAGCCCTGCCTAGAAGTCTGACCAGTTCCCCCCAATTGAAACCAGTTGTGTCCTTCGGCATCTGCCCAGAATCCTCCAGAATGTCCTCCACTTCCCCTCCCAAATTCTTTGGAATAGGCACAGTGCCTCCCACACATGCCCTGAGGACATGAATCAAGGAAATAGTTTTGAAGGAATACAGTTTTGAAAACTGCTGCTGTAGGTATTAATTTACTTTTTTTTAGAATTGCTGGTATTGCTGGCGACACAGTTATGTCCCTTCCAGTGCACGCAGGAAGTTACATCAACACATTGTTGGCGAGCCCCCGCCCCCCAAGTAAATCCCCCACACACACCATTTACTAGGAGGACTTGGAAACCCTGGCTGCAATTCACGATAACAAAATGTTAGTGGTTAAAAATTTGAGAGGAGAGATTCAAAGTCTTGGGACGAGTATATGTGCATGAGTGCCAATGCATCCCAACCCATACATATTCAGTATTTATTTTGGGTACCAGTATGTCTCAGGTTAATTGAGGTGCCTCTTGAACATCTACTGAGAAAAGAGGATTCACCATTTTGTGCAGTTTTTCATATTTATTTTATGTGGGGGAAGAAGAAGAAGAAGAAGAAGAAGAAGAAGAAGAAGAAGA